GCAGAGGCATGATTTTCCTTTACACAAGCCAGGTAGCTGTGGATTCCCTTCACCTCTAGAGCTGATTATCAATAGTTCTGCAGTCTGTGCCACCCCTAGGCCTAAACCCAAAGTGAAGGAGACCTAGATAAAATGGATATAAAACTGACTGAATACTGGCAGTAGGACCACATAGGGCAATGATCAATAGCTAAGAATCCAATTGCAGGGCAGTGTCCAGTGTGGCAGGATGGGTGGAGCCTGGCCTCATTCCTACCAAAAGGCACCAGACACTCCTCTGAAGCAAAAGAGAATCACCCCCACACCAACCCACCCTTAGAGATACACTGGGGGCTGCCTCCTTCCCCAGGGAGCCATTAGGACACCTGCCCCCTTCTCTGCTGGTTCCACATGGGGCCAAGCTCTGCTCTGATGGCACCTATCAGCAATGATGTTGGCCAATATCACAAATACCAGAGTTGCTCAATAGGTGAAAGAGGGACCATCTGCAAATGTGATTAGCAGTTCTCTATCAGCCCAGTAGAGGGGACTCTTAGCCAGTTTATTTAAAGAAGTAGGAGCTGTACCCTCCTATTTAGGAAGGCTCAAGTAGGCAAAAGGGATGGCACTGTCAAAAATGGCATTACCTCTTTCAGAGACACTGACAATTCAGAAGCAAATGATCTAGAATGCTTATGGATCAACCCTGATATATATAGTACAAGATGGGGTACTAGTTGGTATCTGCTATAGATGACCAAATCACGCTACAGAACAGGATGAACACGTATCTATGTGTAGAATATAACTGATCACCGAGGACTTCACTCTGGATGCCATATGGTGGAGGTCTCATGCTGACAGTAGGAAAATCTCCTTGGAATTTCTAAAAACGATAGTTGACAATTTCCCAACACAAAGAGCATTTAAATTTATATTCAACATGGAACTCTGGCTCAGGCCTCATCTTGACAGATACAAACTGATCTTTGAACTGAAAATTGGTGGTTGCTTAAACACAAGTGACCATGACTTGATTACGTGTGTTAGACACGAAGAGAACTGAGGCCCCAACCAGTAATATATACTCGGGACCTTAAAAGGGCCAATTTCACAAAGCTGAAAATAAGAGTTAGCTAAATCACCTGGGAGGAAAAATTGAAACAAAAGAAATATGAATGATAATTGGGAACTGTTTAAGGATATTTTACTAGATGCCCAAAACCCACATTGTCACAGTTACAAAAGTCAGCTACTTTGGTTAAAAACAGCAGGACAGATGGGAAGTGAAAGCAGCAATAAAAACCCAGTATATAGCAAATGGAAAAAAAATGGGAAGTTGATAGTTGCTAATTTATATTTATTAGTAGGTATGGTCTCTTTGCTTCCCTTATCAATTTTCTACAAGGAAAAATCTCTGGCCAGGAGAGTTAAGGATGATAAGGAGGTGGTTATCAATAGTAATGCAGAAAGGCAGAAATGTTCCATAAATATTTGTTTTGTATTTGGGAAAAAGCCGGATTATATATTTCACATCATATGATGAAATGTTTTCCATTCCAACAGTAACTAAGTAGTACGTTAAACAGAAGTTGCCAAACTCCACACAGAAGACACTGGGAAAAAGAAGGATGATACTCTGTCTCAACTTTTAGCCCCGTGGTTAGGTACTTACCTGGGATGTAGAAGGCCCCGGGGTTCAAGTCCCCCTCTGCTTTAACCACTGGGCTATAGGATACTCTGATACGGGGCTCTCGCAATCTCCTATTAAAACTATTCTACCTTGGCTAAACAAACAGTCATCAGCACGGGGGGCCAGATCCTGTATCTTCTACCTCCCCGAGTGCCCTATCTCCGAGGCTATAGAGTCCTTCTCACACTCTCTGGTCCAATGACTAATTATTTATCCACAGTTTAAACAGGAGATATTCAGGGCACCCCATATCAGACTATCCCATAGACCAGAAGTTAGGGCACTCATCTGATATGTGGCAGATCCACTTTCAAATCCCTTCTCCTCAGGCAAAGGGGGAACTTCAACTGGGGGTCTTCCACATCCCAGGTGAGTACCAGAGCCAGTGGGCTACAAGTCTGAGGGGTGTCCTCTTTTCTTCCCTTGCAAGAACTGCCTTAGACACCTGACTCCACCAGGGGGTTCACAGCCGAGAATCCCATGCAGAGAGAGCACCAAACCCTGGGATGGGACTTCAGACACACTCGTCTCTTCAGCATCTCCCATTGGCTAATTAGGCAGCTCCCCACCCAGGATGCTGGCTTTCAAGAATTCCATTCTCATGTGCTGCTCTCTCCTCATTCATTGGATAGGGAGCCTAAGCACCTGAACACAGACTGTGTGAGGCTCCTAGAATATCACTAGGATTAAGAGTTAGGCACAATGACTAAGGCTGTGGCTACACTTGCAGCTGTAGAGCGCTTTGGGTTAAACCAGCCTTCGTAGATTGCACTAGGGAAAGCGCCACAGTCTGTCCACACTGGCGTGGCCACATTTGCAGAGGTGCATGATGGGCAGCTATCCCAGCGTTCAAGTGGCTGCAATGTGCTTTTCAAATGAGGGGGGGTGGGGCAGAGTGTGTTGTGTGTATGTAGGGGGGGGAGAGAGAGAGAGAGAGAGAATGGGTTTTTGGAGTGCTGAGAGCGTTCAGGCAGCGATTTCACAACAAAGGGAAGAGCGACCACTTGGCTTAAGGGGATTATTGGATGTTTCCAAGGCCAATCAGAGCCCAGTAACTTAACTCCTCATTCACACTGACCCTGGGGTGTCTCAGCCAATACGCAACAGCCGTTATCCCTCTAGTGGAGTACCAGGAACGCTCCAGCCAGGGAGTCAGAGCGCTCTACGTGCCTTGCCAGTGTGGAGGGGTAGTAAGGTAGACCGCTCTGGGTGGCTTTATTGCAGTATAAAGTGCAAGTGTAGCCAAGGCCTAACACAACCAGCCAGCTCTCCACAGTTGGGATTCAGTGTGCCAGACAGCACACCTTCTCCATCATGTTCAAACAACTACTGGCCTAAATAAGAGGAAGGCAGGCAAACCACTTGCAAAGTTTCCAATCAATAGATCAATTTGAATTAGAAAAAGGATGAAACATTCCATCTGGATAGATTTCTACAGCACCTCTCACTGGAGTACGTATGTGCCAAGAAGTGAATTCTGCTCATGGAAAGCAAAGGCAGCAGTGGGAGTTGTGTGCTGATGTCAAGTGTGGAAATAGGCCCATAATGAGTGCCCACTGAAACCTAACGTTGGGGCTCACAGGGAATGGGAAAGGCGATCGAGGTGACAAATACTTCTCTCACCAGCTGCCTGAATGCACAAGCCAGTCCTCTGAGAACAGCCATTTATCCAGACTTTGCTGGATTTCACATACCCCAGAGCATGAAGCTATACAAGGCAAGTGAGGATGAGTTAAAAATGTCAGACAAGTGTATTTGTCCTAAGCGGAAAATGGCTTACTTGCTATACCCTGGCATACCGACCAATAGGGCACTCCACCAGAGACAGCAGCAAGGAGAAATCAGTGGAGACAGCAATAACTAAGTGGATGGCAATTGGGAAAGGGTTCTTTGGAGAACAGTGAAGATCCTGGAAGCAGCTCCATGGTCATGTAAAAAACCTTTTTAGGGCAAATCACATTTCAGAATGATATTATGACAAATAGAAGCAAAAGGCCAATGTCACTATTTTCCTCTAAACCTTGATTACTGGAACAAGAAGTCTATGTTTTGCTACGAGTATGCTAAGCGTCTTCAGAGGTAACTCCTTTCTTCAGGGCCAAAATTCTAAGAACGAGAGGCAGACAGAGATCCAGAAACCAGATTATTTTCATGGACAATAGACTGTGATAGTTTATAGAATTGCAACCAATGCATTTAATTTGCATATGAGAGCTAATTATTTCGTGTCAGGTTTCAGAGTAGCAGCCATGTTAATCTGTATCCGCAAAAAGAAAAGGAGGACTTGTGGCACCTTAGAGACTAACCAATTTATTTGAGCATAAGCTTTTGTGAGCTACAGCTCACTTCATCGGATGCATTCACCTTGCCAGATCACTCTCGTTAGTGTGTATGGTAACACTCATTGTTTCATGTTCTCTATGTATATAAATCTCCCCACTGTATTTTCCACTGCATGCATCCAATGAAGTGAGCTGTAGCTCATGAAAGCTTATGCTCAAATAAATTGGTTAGTCTCTAAGGTGCCACAAGTCCTCCTGTTCTTTTATTTAATGTCAGTACATAACTTTTACTGAGCTCTTATGAAGTAAAGTGGCACTTCCAATTCAGACATCAACTGACCTCTCCATCAGTATTATAGAAAACAAATGGTTCAATCTGAGAAGGCAGGATGCCTCTCAGAAGCCAATAAAACTGGAGGAACTGAGTAGTTAATGAACAGAGCTTTCCACAATTAGATTGAAGGATGATTTTGTTCTAAAATTTACAAACAGATCAAAACCTCAGGGATCAAGTCACCATTTGAACTAAAAATAATCCAACTGCCACCCTTTATTTTGATCACCATAGACAGGTACTGGTGAATTATTATTGTGCATTGAAAGTGCCATTTAATGAAGGCCAAAATCGTGAATGAAGAGAGAATCCAAAGAAGCAGGGTAATAAGTGTTTGGGTTTTTTTTTAATTTTAAGAATAATTACCTGAAAAAGTATTAAACTTTTATCTATGTTACCTTAACTGATCATTTAAGTGCTTTTCAAATTTAGCTCTGTGAACTGATCTGTTGGTATGTAGTTTTTGTAACGTGTTACTCGCAATCTTTGAGCTGGTAAAGTTCTGTCTGGGACTAGGCACATGAGAACAAAGATGATCATTGAACTTTACTAGCCTAGGAAGCCCATGGAAAATATAAACCTATAACCCCTTTCTCTGCACATCAGTGAACCTGCAACAAGACACAAGACAAAAAAAAAAATAACCAACATTTTTAAGCAGTTTTCTTGTTCACCTGCAATCCGTTTTAACTCACCACACAGCAAACTGCAGTCAATCTATAAATGTTCCATTTTTATTACAAAGTATGAAAGGCAGAAAATACTGTACCTAATACACAGGAGGCTGAAACTTAAAAAGGTTAAAAAAATTGAATAAAGCTACATAGAAAGCAAGAAATAGCATAAAAGGATGCAACATTCCACTTTCAAGCGGTTTCATAAAAGACTGACTTATTTTACAAAGTTTCAATAATATGGTTCCAGGGTTCGGGTGTTAAAATCCACTGTAACAAAACCTTTTATATTATTTTTCCATAAAAATAATTAAAAAAGGAATACCAGGACACTGCAGTTACTTGTGGCAACAACGTGTCCGAGTCTGCCTGATAATGGAATGCTAGGATTCCTTTAGTACAGTATAGTAGCAAAGTTGCAAATCTCAAGCAATACGAAAGAGGGAGGGAAAAAGTGTGCAAACACCTTAAGCTATGCATGACAGCAGTAAAATTGCTATTGCTTTAACATATTTTAGTGAGAACAAGAAATCTGGAATTTCATATGTATGTTTGTACAATCATGCTACAAAGATCACACCTTCAGGAAGTTATCACAATGGGACTTTAAATGGGAACAGCAAAAGGGAATACACATAACAAAATGAACATCTCCTACTTCATTACTAGTAGTAAAAAACCAAAAAACGCTTCGGCTCGACAGATTTAATCATTACATTGTATGCTGCTGGCAACCCAAGTAAAAAACAGCTCCTTTTAAATAGCAGATGCCACAAATTCACATTCACCAGGTTGTCAAAAACAACACACTGCTTCATAGCAGTACTATTTACTGCCGGAGTCTTTTCCGCCTTTGTTTAGCAAGTTCTTTGTGCCTTCATTCGGATTTGCCTGACCAATTACTGTCTCTCATATAGAAGGAAACTTGCATACTTTACAAAAAGGAAAACTGAAATTCTAAGAGCTGCTGACTAGTGTGTATGAACGAGAGATGGAACCAGTTTGTTGTGGCTGCAGAACCTTGCAAGAATCAAAAAAAAAAACAACCCCCCTCAGCATTGTCCTTTATTAGCTTATCTGAAAAGGAAGCCAAGCAGGTCATTTTCCTCACTAGCAAGGAAATTCTAGATTGATGCTTGATATCTGTGAGCCAGAAGAGGCGTTTGAGTTAGCGGGCAGACTAACGGCTGTCCAGAATTCTAACACAGCAGTGTCTAACTTCCTCTTAGAACTGCTCCTGCCTCTATGCTCGGTCTCCAATTGCCAGACAAGCACCCTGGTGGCTGGTGTCTAGTCACATTTGTTACGATTTCACTGCTGGTGAAAGGTTCTGGATCAAAACCAGAGAAAGTGAGATCCTCCGGGCAGTGCAAGTTTCTTCACTCACCGTACCTTTGCCAATGTACCTCAGCTATGACCTAGAGGGACCGTCTCTAGAGAAATTTGGTTGCCAAGCCAGCATGGAAGTGTGCTGTTTAAGTGCCTCCTACCATTAGGTCCGCGGGCTTCCCTGCAGACATTAATAAGGGGGCCCCTCTAGAGCCAAATGTACTCCTGCCCATTAGGAATCAGGTCTGGAAACAACCTCATTTCATACTGGCCACGGATCAAAACAATCTCTAGATTGGGATTTGAACCAGTGGCCTTGGAGTGAAAGGCAACTGAAGTAATTCAGAGCTACCTTAACTGTCCCCTGATTGGATAATACTCCCCTTGGGTTTGAAGTGGCAGAACCATTTTGTCTGGCAGTAGTGGGATGACTAACTCTTTCAATACGCTGAGGGAGGTATAAACAATTGTACAGCCCAACTGTGCACCGAGCTGCACCTTGTGATTGATCCATTTCTGCCTGTGCGGCATATACTGAAAGGGTTAAGATAGTCCGCACCCAGGAATTTTGACAAGTCAAAGATCTTTGAATTCTGCATCTTAAGTCGCAGAAAGCTGCATCCATTTTCCTGAGTTTATGGAATTGACAAAGCAGACTGCAGAATTCACCTACATCCCATGATAACCATCTACCCAAACCACCTATCATTTCTGCCATATGTTTGAAAGGGCACCTAATTCCAGGCCCTCCCCCCCCCAAGTAGGCAATAATAAAAGTACCCAAATGAAGCAAAAAAAAAAAAAAAGTTCTGTTTGGGCAAGAGGCAAAGTCAAGTGCTTGAGAGGCCCCTACTGGATCATACTGTCATCTGAATATAAAGCCGCACAGTTTGCAGAGTTAACAGCATTTTCAAGTGCTTGCATTTTTCATGTTGCTTTTCAGGTGGTTCTGGCGTGAGAGAGGTCACCATGTGCTGCCAGCCAGAGCCACTTTGGAACTGTAACAGTCAGGAAACTCTCATGCTGTATTTAACATTTTATTAATCAGACACAGGGTTCAGAGTCAAACACCAGCCCTAAAGGATTGAGGTAGGAAGGTTATTCCATTCCTAACCCTAACAAAAATATACCTGCTAAAGTTCCATCTAAAGCATGAAAACTAGCGTGCTCAGCTTCCTGAACTTATATTTTAAAACAAAAGTCCAAAAAATGTATGTATATGCCAATACATTAGCATAGACAGTTTCTTAATTGGGATTCGGTTGGAGAAATGTAGCTACAGATCAAGCAGATGTGGATTTATCTCATGAATGAATCTATTCTGGTTGCTGACCTTTATTATCCAGTGTTCAAAAAAAGTAATTAGAAGCAATGCAGATGTGTGATCACAACTAAATTTTGAAGGGATCATGAATTTTGACTCTTATGGGAAGCAAGGCTTTAGATAGATACACAAGGCTTTGCTTCCCGTAAGTACCCAGGGGGGCTTAAAGTAAGAAACAACCTGCAGTGTCAACCTCTTCTCTTTCTGTACTTTGAGACCACTGAATTTCTTACTCAGATTGTCAAAGCAACCTTGCCTATTAAATCCTAGCACATGGGAAGGACACGTTTAGTTGCAGCAACCTACCACAGTGATTTAATTCAGCAATATACAGATTTAACATACTAAATGCACTGGCTCATCCTCCAGCTAGCTTTTAGAGTCTTGCCTCATCTTTGGGCTGGGAGCAAAAACATGTTACCAACTATCACATGGGCAGCTATCCAGGGCAGTTGAGTTTTTAAAATGCAGCCCAAAGGCTGGAATTAGTTAGCCAGAGAAAGGATACAAAACTAGTGAAGTTGGAGGAGAACCATTGCATTCAAGGAAATTTAGATCAGGAGCTTAATCGCTATAGACAAAGCCACAAATGTTCTGCAAGAAATCTTATGGAGGAAGGCCCCAAGATGAGGTCTCCTCAGTGTACATAACAGAACCACTTATGCTGGTAACGGAAGCTATGAAGTTGTGTACTCATTTAGTCTCATTTTCACATGCTCTTAATGCTCAATTCTCATTGGTCTAAACTCTGTTCAGAGTCTAGGTGGGATTATATTTTTGGAAAGTTTGAGGAAAATCCCTTTGGCTGTTTCAACTGGATGTTTATTCCCTTTCCTTAACGCAAAAGAACTCTTACTATATCAACTAAAACTTCTCCAAGTGAACTGTCCTCCATGACCATCACTCAGCTGGGTGGGAGGAAGAGTGTGATTTAAAGGTGTTCAGATACCACAGTAATGAGCATAGTATAAGAATCTACAGAGAAGAGTCAATGAGCATGTTCAATACCATTCTGCCTAATACAGCCTATAATGGGGCAGAGAAACCACATAAGCTCAGTGTCTGGCCTGACCATAAACAGTTTGCAGGAAACTACGTTTCTCATTGAAACATGAGCCTGTCAAGATCAGAGAGACCAGAGAAAATGGTGGACAAGAAACAATTAAGATCATGGGATCCACCGTTTTTGATACATTCTTTGTAGTTCTGCAAATACTAAGCTTTCAGCTTGAAGAACATTACATTGCTATCATTTTTTCCTTCTGAAGACCACAGCTAGAAACAGCTACACTGTTAACTCAGCCTTGCAGAAATTGGTCAGCAGCAACTCAACCTTTACCCACGCAATTTACATCAACAGAATAAAACTTCAAAAGCCTAACTGGGACTATTTAAATACTAACATTCTGAAAGTAGCCCCCCGCCCCCAAAACCCTACTTCCCCAAAACATGAAACGCAAAACTTATTGCAACGTTATGTGAACACATTTAGTTTGCAGAGTCAGGAAGCAAAAGGTTTACGCTTCTCTCACTGAGATTAGCTTGTTTACACTGTGCCTAGTACTTGTATTTAGATACACATGCAAGACTTTCATGTAATATTGTTACAAGTATATCTAAACAAAAGCAATAAACGTTGCTATGAGAAATGCAACTTTCATTTTCTAACATGCTTGCATATTTAAGTTTAACTTTAAAGGCGCAGCTCTACTTTGAAGAGTGATCAAGTTTAATGTAAAAAGAAAAGGAGTACTTGTGGCACCTTAGAGACTAACAAATTTATTTGAGAAATTTGTTAGTCTCTAAGGTGCCACAAGTACTCCTTTTCTTTTTGTGGATACAGACTAACACGGCTGCTACTCTGAAACAAGTTTAATGTTTAGTTCCACACTTGTGTATCAATGATTTCTGGAGCAAATTCGCTTAAAATACCAGAGATGCATGTGTAAGCTATCTGGCAACCATGCCAGAATCTGAACACCAGTCAGTTCTTTATGGCTCACCCATCAATAAAAATTTTGCAATTTGAACGTAATGAATTTTATTGACAATGCGTGAGACTGAACAGAACGCACCTCATTCTCCCAGAGACGCGTTGGCTCTGCACTGTTAACTGGAGTAAATATCCGTCACTAATGAAAGGTGATCAGATGAATAAGATGTTTTTGTATACTCTGTTTTCTATTTTTTTTTTTTTAAAAGTCACCTGTAGGATAATTTTTGCCTGTTACCACAAACAGGTAAGATTATAATTGAAAAAGGAGACATCTCCATTTTTCAATTTTAATCTGCATTTGACAGCAGGCTGAACATTTAGTTTCATTGACTCCATGTAGCCAGTCTTCCCTGTTTGTCTGGGTCTCAGAACAAGAGGGACAGAGCATTTAAAATAGAAACCTATGGTTGCAAGGACTCTGGAGAGAAGGTGTATGTAACTGAAGCTACTTTAAATTGAAAGCCTAATATTTTTTAAAAAAAATAATTTTTGTCTTTTTATGTATGCCGCCACCTTTGGTTTTCACTCAATATCAAGATTGTCTCTCAAGGTAATGAGTCAGGGTCAGCTGATCTGGATCTTGACCTCATCAGCTCAGTCTGTTACCGTACAAGGTGATGGTTAGACCTCACCACAGTGCTGTGTTCAGTTTGTCACCTTCTCATTTGAAGGGTATTGCAGATAGCTGATCAAAACAAGAAAATGACAATATTCAAACTACCCGCCATGTTAAGACAACAAAAGAATTTTGCTAACCCTCCGCAGCTCTAATCATAAAGCATCATGGTGACAGAGGGCTCGCAGCGCCCACTCTTACCTTTCCACTTCAGAAAGGGAACTTGGATGAAAATAGAAGGCTCCCCCCTCACCATACCTATCCTGGTCCTCTTACAAGAGTTGCAGTACCCAAGAATGACAACTGGAGACCTTGTTTTGGCTCTATTTGAGACACTGGGCAACTTCTTTTAATTTAGACCCAACCCTGTATGTTACTTTAGGAAACTTTCCCTTACGGGGACATGATTTGCCTTTGGACAGCAGACCAGCTGTTCTAACTGTTTCTAACACATTCATCCAACAAGATCTGACAGTACAATGCTAATGCTTCTCTCCTTGCTCTTAGGAACAAAAAGCTAGCTCTTCACTTGTTCACTTTGTAGAACTCCCAGGAAGAGGAGCCAAATGCAAAAGAAACTCTAAGGTATAGGTTAGATACAGAATTTTGCTTAGAATTACAGTTGCCCATCAAGTAAGCTAGAAAGTGTGAAACCATTTTATTTGGGTTCAGACAGGAAGCTTTCTAGAGGAATCATTTGACTGGACGTGTCTATCCAAATGCATTACAAGTGACATTTTTTACTAAATGTTTTCAAAAATAGCTCTAGTCATGCTCATAGCATCTTCTCTCTGTGAATCGTATCACCAGTTAAGTAATACACCTGTGGGAGACTCAATAATTCACTTACGATCTAACATAAGGCCCACCACAGTAACAACTGCCTCTAGCATCGGTTAAAATGGAAGTACTGTGCGACAAGTAGTGGTACTTCACAGCACCAGGCGATTCTGACCAAATGGTCAGGGGCACATAGCCAAGGCAACAGCTACAGCAACAGGTTTACTGCTAGGAAATCTACAATGATGCTTATGACCCATCATTATCAACAGATCCTGCTTGGGGCTCATGGAAGTGGATCACATCAAAAATAAGAACTGGGGTGAAGAGCCGACTTAATAGAAAACTTAGTCCAATATATAAAAACATACAAATGTTCAAACAGTTTAGGGACAGTAACAGGAATGATTAAAAATTCCTGCAAAGGTGGTGGTTAATATTAATGTCTTTTCTTTCCACCTAGTTTTGCACTTACATCTATCAAACTAATTGGATGTGCTGCCTCTGCTGACTGACAAACACATGGACATATGCAGCAACTTAAAACAGTCATTTAAAGCCTGTAATGCTCATTAACACAGTCAACAAACAGATATACAGAACTTTTTAATTGAGAAAAATATTAAAATCAAAACCCAGAAGGTCCAAGAGGCTGGGTGCATCCCTTCGTTTTCTGAGTCTTGCAGGGACAGCCGACACCTGCCATTAACTCCTGTAACAGTTTCTTGGAACAGTAGATGCAAAGCAACAAAAGATACTGGCCACTTGAAACATGTTTGTTCTTACTTTAGAGGAGAGGGGAAGTTATAAAGCCCTGCCTCAGTTTGGCACAGACCAATAGTGTTACACTCTCAAGATCTCCAGACAGTTGTTGTAGCAGATAGCTATCCAGTCCGGCTGAGTCGATGCCCACTGTACATTGTTGATTTCCCCTTCTGCTGTGTAGGCCAAGATTGGGTCCTCAATGGCACGAGGCATTTGCTGGATATCCCAGATGAGAGCCTGATGGTCATCCGCTACAAACAGGTAAGAAAGAATTAGACTCAATCATCTCGGAAATAGGTACAGGCATATTTACATGGCTAGTTGGAGGGATATAGTCTCAAAAGCAAGCTAAAATACAGAGTGAGAAGTCCAAATGAAAAAAAAAAAAACCGAAAACCAATAAAGCTGGGCAATTCCCAAATATGGAGGAAACAAAGATCACATAAAATGAAACAACTCCACTCCACCATAACCCTGCTCATATATATCTTTAGATCACTACACACCTGTGATACAGTCTCAAGGGAAATGGTGGAAGCACCATCAATAGGCACATTTAAGAACCAGCACTTGGAGAAAGCATTGAATATACAATGGCGGGAACAATCTTGTATTGGCCAAGGGGATGGACTAGATGGAATCTAAGAGACCTTTCCTATCTTTAACTTACATGGTTTTAAGCTTTGTGTCCAAGGAGATCTGCCCAATTTTCTCAGAAAATTAATACCTTTTCTGACCACAGACATGGGTGCCCAGCTCCCAATGACTTAAATGGGAGCCCACACACAGCCAAAGCCAAAAGTATGGTCTAATGGATGTTAAGAAGCCATATATTGAACCTCTCTACTGTGGGTACAAATATATTACTCCTTCAGCCAAAAAAGGGCCTGCCACAAAATATTCAGCCAGTAGCAATGCTTAATTCATCAAACGAAAAATGCAGAACTTGAGCACTGTAAGCAACTCTAGCTTTATTACAAGGAGAGAAAACAGCCCTTTGAATAAAGCGGTTAGCTGTTAGCTTTACGTGCATTCCCTAGTGAATTACTCCAACATTCATGACTTAAGACAGGCGTTGCCCACTTCACAGTTCAGACATTGGGACACAGTCCCTCGTTTTCAAGGTGAGACAGCCCAATGCCCAAACTGCTTAAGAGGCAGCAGCTTCTCCGTTTCCCTGGAGAATTTTGGGAAATGGTGGGGGCAATAAAATGAGCACCTATGACACCGGATATATCTAGGACCCGAGCCTTATTTTTTTGCTCCAAGAGCTGGAGAGATTTGAGGTAGTGGAAATGATTGCAGGAGTCCCAGGATAGACATTCATACATTTAGAAAGCTCCTGGGGAACAGGACCAAACAGGGAGGAGCGGAGAAGGAGAACAGATCTCTCCCCATGCTCACCTGCCGTACAGATATGGCAGGAAGAGTGAGGCGCCCAAGCAATGCCATTCACACATGCTCTGTGGTTGTTTAACCTGGCAACAGGTGTGCAGGGAACTCTGACGTCTAGAATCACCACCTTCAGAAGGAAAAGTAAAAATGTTTAGTCATTTGTTTCCTGAAGAAAAAAAAAACCCAAAGACATTTTGGCAGAATGTTATAGACACAACACTGTCTCTAAAGACACACACGACTGACCAAAAGCGGTTTTACAATATCTGCTTGCCAAGGAATTTTGAAAGCAGCTAGAGAATCACTCTGTACATCTTGTGTAACATGTAACACAGGCAGAGGGAATCATGAAGTTACAATTTCATGGAGAGATGTTGAACTAAAGAAAAATCTACAGTGCCTTTTGAAGTCACTGGAGCAAGATGGAACTTAAGAGTATCCTCTTAGAGGCATAAGGACCAGTCTCAAAATCAGCTACAGGTTAAAGGAGCCTTTCAAGACCTACAGCTGCATATTACAGATGCAAATAAGTATGCAGACATATGAAATCAAGTCAGCTTTTATAAAAGTGTTAATATTGAAATTCAGCAAGTATGAACTTCAATACATTTGGAAAATGAACAGTGTACAATGCAGTGAACAACTCCATAGAATAACTCATTACAATATTTTTCTCAGAAACTGGGCTTCTTGCAATCCATATCTACAGCCCTCTCCCAGATACCAAATATTAAGCACTTATGTAGTGCTCTTCTCCTTCAAAGTGCTTTACAAGCACTGACTAATCAGTAAGCTCATCTAAAAAGTCCAACTGCTGAAGCTTATAGGGCAAACGGTCAGTGCCTCACCTCCATACCATCCATGGCCATTGTTGCAAGATAGTTGGGATCCTGCTTGTTCCAGCAGAGACGCAGCAATGGATGGTGCTGTGGATCCTCATAGATAATGGTGCTGTGCTCCAGATGACGAAGGTCAAACATCCGCACCGAGCCATCTGCGCCAACTGACGCAAACATGTCTCTCCCGCCACCCGCGCGGCTAAATGCAATGTCATACACCTGCTCAGTGATAGGGGAGATAAGAACATGGCATTATTTTAACATTCATTTTGGCTCCCATTTCTTCACTTTCAAGGAATGTGCCCTATTCATTCCTCCTCCTCCTCCTCCTCCTCCCAGTTAGTGTTTGCAAACACAAGAACAGCACACATCCATGTCAAACTAGTGACAGCACTGCTCTCTAGGCAGTTTGAGATGGGAGCATGCTAGGAGTGCTCATCACACAGCTACAGCAGCTGTGCCAGCTTCTTCAGTATCTACATCTGGGCCTTTCCCTCTCCAATAAAAATATCACCATTACATGGCTGGACTGCATGTGCTATATATACTTATTCACGGAGAAACATACAAAAAGTCTTAAGATCCAGTGTGGCACCAGTTTATTACCAGATATGTTCTCTGTCTGGGGAATGCACTAAGAGGGCTTTTCCATCTAAATAGTGTGTCATCACTAACTATTTACTCTGTCAGGCATTTGATTTTACTAGGGAATTGCAATGATTATATAGCAAATACCACAGATATCTTGGTGTAGAATATAAAATTGCGCCTACTGGCCAATGATGCAGTTAGAGATGGGAAGCCTCTTCCCTAGCTCAGAATATAGTCCCCCTGAGAAATGACAATTTAGATGTACATACATTTTTAAAGACCTCTAAAAAAAATGATCAATTCTAATTTCTACCCTCCAAGGCCTCTGCAGTAGGAGTCTAGATACTAATGCAACTTAACTTTAATAGTGGAGAGAAGAGAAAGCTTTACTACTAAAATCAGCTTTTTTGGGAAGTGTCGCAGAAACAAAGGTCTATTATGGGACAAAGGGTCGTACAGGTTTTGTCTAGAGTCTAGAAAGACCTTCATCCCAAATACATGCCAAGATGACTTTTGCAACATGCATATTTTAAATAAAAAACCAAACATTTTTTACGGTATGACATGTCATTCAGTTTTTGGGAACGCTTGGGGAAGAAAGTTGTGGGGGTGGGGAGAAGAGGTTGGTAGGAACTTTGTTGGGGAACATAGGCTTCAAGTCTAAATAAAACTACTACAGACTCTAGTAATGCTCCCTGAAGTAAAGGGGCAGAAAGTCCCAGGGGATGCAGAAGCCTTTCCTTTCTCCTGCACCCTACCAAAATGCTCATAGAGGCTTCCTCAGAAAGGCATAGGCAGTAAAGAATCCCTGCTCCACTCCCTCATAAATGGAGCCAGGGAGCAAAATTTATTTTTTTTAAACTAGGCAGTTATAAACACTTTTCTAAGAGTAACAGCCGTGTTAGTCTGTATTCGCAAAAAGAAAAGGAGTACTTGTGGCACCTTAGAGACTAACCAATTTATTTGAGCATGAGCTTTCGTGAGCTACAGCTCACTTCATCGGATGCATACTGTGGAAACTACAGAAGACATTATATATACGTGTACGTGCTCATGCTCAAATAAATTGGTTAGTCTCTAAGGTGCCACAAGTACTCCTTTTCATTGTTCTAAGACTTATTCTATTATACAGGCCTGATCCTACAAACCCTTAATTGAATGAGAAAGAGTCTGATATGACTGTCCTAAGTATAAAAGGAACAAAGAAGGAAAGTCTAGAGGCTGCTGTCACTACAGGGTGATTTGGGTGCCTTAACTGTATGTTTCCATGTTTTGCTATCTTTAGGTTTCTGAAAGACAGAAAGAAAGACAGAAAGAAATTATTAAAAAAGTTTTCCCACCCGTCAATTACTAATTAGCCTCTCAACTTTAAACTGGAGTTAAATTTATAAAATATTGCCAGACAAAACTTAATACAAATTAGAACAAAACGGCAAGCATATGCTGCAGGTCCACCGTCTAAAATGAGTGAAAGCGAGTATGTAGAATTTTCAGACTACAAGCAACTTAATTTTAGACATATGTAATGTAGAATCCAAGTCTTTTTTCTAAATCCTCAGATTTTTCTGGAGAAAATGGGAGTTATGTTCATTCTATAGGCCTTTAACAGGTGTAATGCAGACAACCGTATGAATTAGAAAAAGAAAGAGCAATATCATCACCTCTTTGTCATGTGCAATAAGCTGGGTCTTGACATGGCCCGATACCAGATTTACTCTTCCCAATACCTGCCCAGTCTCCAGACCCCAGATGGTACAGGTTGTGTCAATGCTAGAGGTACCTGAAACAAAGAGTGTCTGTTAATGGTGGTATTAACATAGATCTGCAGAAATGTCACCTTATCACTTATGAGACTAGTCTCAGATGTGCTTTGAGATCTCTGGGTGAAGAGAACTCTGCATGAGCAAAGTATTAGGATTAAAATGTTTGACATGCCTGAATTAAACTATGGATCACAGGCTGGATCTGGCCAACACAATGTGTGTGTGGCCCACATGACTCAGGTTGTGCAGAAATTTTTAAGCCAAGTCTCTAGCCCTCATAGCTGTAGAGAAAGCCTTCCAAAGATGAACCAAGCATAAAGTGATAACATGTCTGCCTGAGTGTCCAGACAGCCTGACTCAGTGGGGTGAACTCCCCTGCCCTACACAAAACTAACTGGAACATCAGCTCTAAAGCCCAACAAGGGTGGTAGTGAGGCCCTTCATGGGTAGGAATTCCTGCAAAAGAGGAAACACAGGAATAAATGTTACACTACAGAAAGGATGTATTGCCCCCTTGATCTCTGTTCAAACTTCACCCTGATGTTAGTGGAGGTCTTGACTATGGATCAAGGGGAGTACATACCATTCTGGATTCATACCCCACCCAACAGATTATAATTAAACAATGCTCCAAATGAGAGACACGCCTGGTTTAACTCCTGCTGCTGCAGAGGTATTTCACTGTAACAAACATGGTGCAATGGTACCTGTGGGGCAATGTTCTGTCCAACACCTTCAGCTACAGTCAAATGGCTGAACTCTGCCAGAAGAGTCTGTGTATAAATTTAACACTAACAAAACGTGTCAATCCAACAGACCTGAAGACTGAAACCCTCTATTCAACATATAGGCCGAGCACAAGCAGGAGCAGGGGAACATCACCAACCCACGTGCACAACCCTGACCTGAAGACACCTCCTCCAAGAGGGGAGAAAGAGTTCAGTCTCCACGGGCTACGCTTTTGTGACATTTACGGCAGCAGGCTTTTTGTGATGTAGAAATCTGGCCTCTGAACACCCATGAGCTGGTAGTAAGTTCTAGTCACTACTCACCTGGGCTAGATTCAAAATGGTCAATTTTATATTGAGTATTTAATGTGTCAGCAGTCTTACCAAGAAGATAAGGATCCACTTCATTCCAATCAAACGACGTTAACGGGGCACAAAAATCAGAATTCTTATTATTGTTCAGCAAGCACTCCAGTCGGGTCTCAGTTTCACCCACCTTCAGGAAGAAATTAAATACACAATAACTGCCTTATTGAATGGCCTGGCTGCAAAATCCAAGATGTGCCCCATAGAGCATAGGCTTTCAGAACTTCAAGTCTTAACTGCGTTTGACATTGGTTTCTTCCATAAATATCTTATCTATTGTGAAGAGCTTTCAGACTGTTTGAACTACAACTGAGAAAGCTACATATGCTCTCCCCTAACAAGTTTCTGTTACAACAGCAACTACTGAGCCTTGCCATCACATTTAATAAGCTACTTTCATAATTCTGACACTCCTAGAATTCTCAAGATACCTCACAGCCATTGTATTGTTATTCAGAGAGGGTTCTACGTTACTTTGAGAATGTAGGTAAAAGAACAAATTACTGCATTGGCTTTTAATTATGGGTCCTCCCCCTGGACAATATTGGTGAGCATAATGCTAGAGATAAATGTGCCTCAAAAGAAATGGGACTGGGAGAGAAGGGGATCAAAATGCAATGCAGTTAACGGCACATACGTGGCCCTTTTCGAGAGGCTATTTACTTACTCTCCACACACGCAGGTAATCACCGCTGGTTGCCAACAGGTCTGGATATACTCCCTTGGTGTCAGGAATCCACATGAGCTTTGTAGTAGGATATGGGTGATCAAAGGTGTTTCTGCAAATGAACTCTGAGCTCTCCTCATCTAAACCAACAAGCTGGACCTGTAAGAAAATGTCTATCCATTAAAAACTAGCTTTTCTGCTTAGCAAAATAACCATGTATATAACAGTATTAAGAAAACATGTACAGAGTGTTGCATTTTAAATGCTATATTAGCAGTTAAGAGTCTATTAATGATATACCAAAACAAACTCCAGTGTTCATCCTGACAAGCTGCAAGATACCTCCCTCTTTCACCTTCTCAAAATTTTAAGGAATACAATCTGTGGTAGGACATGAAAGATCTACTGCTAAATACTACAAAAAGAAAAGGAGGACTTGTGGCACCTTAGAGACTAACAAATTTATTGGTCTCTAAGGTGCCACAAGTCCTCCTTTTCTTTTTGCGGATACAGACTAACACAGTTGCTACTCTGAAACCTGCTAAATACTAGTCATTGATCTACACCACCACTATATTTTGCACTTCTCTAGTACTTGCCAACCAAGTATCTCAAAAATGCTTTTAGAGGAGTTAAAACCAAACCACTCAGCTCCTTCCGAGGTACAAAAGTATTAACTAATTTCATTTTATAGAAGGAGAAATTGGGGCACAGATGTGAAGTGAGTTACAAAGTCATAACCAGAACACAGATCTGTCCCCCAAATGATGGAAGCTATTTCTTCTCTTCCACCTATGCTGCTTTCAGATATACATTTTTTAGTCTGTTAACTTTAAAAAAAAAAGGAAACATGCCCAGTTTTCCCACATATAAGACTGCTTCATGGTTTCAGTAGATGCATATGCATTACAGAAGCCTCTTTTCTAAGCATATGGTTTTAGCAAGGTAAGTGAATGAAAGTGGCATGCTAGGGTGCCATATTTCTTCTCTTTAAATGACTTTAAATCAGTTTCCAATTCAAAAGATCCACCCCAGGTCTCCAACAGCAAAGTGCTTAAAAATCATAGCAGACGGTGCAACACAAGTGACAAAGTAAGAGTGACAGTTTTACAAATGGGTTAAGACCTGGAAGAAGTAGTCAAACTCTGATTTTTCTGCTCCTTTATATCAAAGATTTGTAGCATGGTGGCATATGAAATTTAGTATTAACAAGCACAAAATAAGGCACAAAGTGTGGAATAATTTGAACTTCTCAAACACTTCACTGCATTCTAAATTAGACTCTGTCTACACTGCACACCTTGCAGCCGCACTGTTGTAAGGTGCACAGTGTAGCCGTTCTATCGCCGGGAAAGCTCTCTCCTGGCAACAAAATAAAACCACCTCCAACAAGGGGCAGTAGCTTCGTCGCCAGGAGGTGGCTCCCGCTGACAAAGCCCTGTCCACACCAGCTCTTTTTGTTGTTCAAACTTATGTCCTTCAGGGGGGTGTTTTTTCACACCCCGAGCCACAAAAGCTTTAACAATGGAAGTCCCAGGGTAGACAAAGACTTAGATATAACACGGGGGAAAATCCTGGGTATTTTTGTGGCCTGCTCAATTAAAGTCTCTGCTCGGGCCTCATCCTCCATGGGCCAGAGGGGAATGCCACAGCTAATCAGGGCCCTGCTGGCTTAGATGAAAGGAGCTGCCTGGCCTTAGCCGTTCAGCTCCTGGCTGGGACCAGAGGGGGCAAGAAAGGGTGCTGGAAAAAGGAGCTTGAGGGTATATCCAGAGTTTGTTTTCTGGCTGCACTTTGCACAGCTCATTTTGCAGAGAGAATCTAAGAACCTTAACCCTGAGATTAGGGTGAACCTAAAGGGGCCAGGTAGCAAGAGGCCCAAGGAAGAGACAGCAATGAATTGAAAAAAGCCATATATTGCTGTTTATAGGGTCCATCAGCTGGAACCTGGAGTAGTGAGTGGGCCAGAGTTCCCCTACCGGCCACAGGTAAAGTATAAACCCCAAGAAGTGATGGAGCTTATTTGGGAGCCTGAACAAAGGGCCGAATTAAAGGCCGCAGAGCCAGGACTGAAGACCCTACTGAGGGCAAATAGACTGTTTATTGGACTCTAATACCCCAGAAGGGGTTTGTGACGGGGTGTTAGCCCTACAACTAGCCCATAACCCTAGGGAGGCTGTGAAACAGGCAGCCAAGTGGAGAAGGGCTGCGAGGAGCAGCCAATCAAGGCCAGGCAGGCCCAAATAAGAAGGGCCACAGGGCAGAGCAGGTCAGTCACTCCCTGGAGCTGGGAGGACTGGCTGCCTTGCAGGCAGAGGGCAGCTAGCACCTTGGACAGAGCAGTGCTGGGCAGGATTAGGGGAGCAAGAGTGAGCTCCCAGCTGACTGCTGGCATGCTGAGACCCCGAGACAAGGGCAGAGAAGGTGCTGGGGCTGCGGGAAAGTGGCCCAGAGAAGTAGACTGTGGGGTTGGAGGGGATGCAGCATGCAGCTGCCATCTACAGAGTCCCTGGGCTGAGAACTGGAGTAGTGGGTGGGCCTGGGTCCCCTTCTTACCCCAATTGCCACTGAGGAAGTGGCTAGACAGTGGACTGCTGTTCCCTGGAAGGGGAGAGAACCGAGTGAGACACAGACAGAGGGCTGTGTCCTGAAGAGGACCACCACAGTCGTTGTGGTGACATGGGTCCAGGAGCAGAGGTGACAGTGGGTGAGACACCACCAGAAGAGGGGGCACTGGCTAGCAGAGCTGATCCCCTGGACATCCAGCAGGAGGCACCGCAGTGATGAGTTGCACCCTGTTGCAGGGTTTATTTGGACTTTGTGGCTTGGCTGGAGTGTCAAGCCACAGAAGGCCCATCAAGGTCAGTTAGCAATCTGCTGGAGGCATCGGGGTGAGAGGACTGTAACACCATGCTCAGCCACAAATAGGCACTCAAACAGGAGCGTCCCCCTTCAGTTCCTCTCAGTTCTTTCCCACTTCCTTCCAGCTCTCAGGCAGCGAGAAGGCTTACTACAATAACTTTTCTCCGGAGGGCATTCTGTGACAAAAAAGTAAAAATTCTGCAAATTTTATTTGTCAAATAAATGTGGAGGCTCCAACATAGCATTGGGGAGCAGAGGCCACTGGCTGCACAGAGGTGGGAGATCACTCTACAGTTTCCCCCGGGACATGGACTCAGTGACGAGGCTGCATCCAACTCTGATACAGCACAAGGCCAGGCCTGCCCCTCGGTGTCAGGTGCACCAGGTGTGGGCAGGCAGGCTCAGCCCAGCAGGATCCAAGCGTGGAGAGGCTTAGTGAGGGGGATCCAGGTGTGGGTTGAGAGGGTTCTGTGTGGGACCATCTGGGTGCGGGCTGCTCAGCAGAATCCGGGTGCAGAGGAGATCTGGATGTAAAGGGGCTTGTTAGGGGGTTCTGGATGCAACAGTAATTGGACGTTGCAGGGGGTTCCAGGTGAAGATGGTTAGGGCTCAGCAGAGGGTGGGGGTCCTGGGGGTGAGGAGGGAGGGATAGAGCTCGGCAGTGGTGTCTGCGCGTGTGTGTGTGTGGGGGTGGTAGGATGCTGGAGGAGTAGGACTCAGTGGGGTGGTGATCCAGGTGCAGCTGGTTGGGGCACAGCAGGGTGGGGATCTGGGTGTGGGTGACTCATTGGGGTGGTCTGGGGGAGTGGGGCTTGTCAGGGGTTCTGTGTGTGGGGTGGGGGGTGAGGCTCTGCAGGAGGGTCTGGATGGATAGTGGATTGGGGAACAGTTCCCTATACAGTGATCCCTCCCCTTGCAGCTGAGTGATGGGTGCAGGAAGTGGGGGGCAAGGGAGAGTTTGCAGAGCTTCCTGCAGCTGGGGGAGAAATACGCGGGTGGGTCTGACCTACCCCTGGATGCCATGCAGGGGAAGAGGAAGTCCTGTCCTCCCCAGCCCAGCCAGGACTAGTGCTGAGCCCAGTACAGCGTAGGAGCCCCCAGCCAGGTCTTCCCCAGTCCCGCCCCCTGCCCTTCAGTTATTTACCTTACTGCGGCTGCCCTGGGCACCCAAAACATACTGCTGGGGAAGGCTGCATGACTGCTCTTGTGGCTTCCCTTTGCTTCCCCGTCAGTCATTTTTCTTCGGGGAAGCAAAGAAATCTATGTGGGACATAAATTCTGCACATGCGCAGTGGTGCAGAATTCCCCCAGGAGTAATAGTTGTATATTTGCCATGGCAGCCTATGCTCTCAAACACAGTTACTGAACACAAAAACTTTCTTAATGCAACATTAAGCTTGCACTGCTAAAAATGAAGTAATCACGAAATAAGAGCTAAGATTCTTACAGCACAGCTAGCTTGGCCACACTGCACCTATTCGCTATAACACCACTGACTTAGACTCTGAATACGTTCTACGGATGGCATACCAGAGATCACTTATTCACTGACGCTTCAAAAACTCCCGCACCCCAATCTGGGTCTATGCTGGTTATGTGCTATGTATGCATCTTGTGAACCTTGTAACTGATACTTGTAACTTCTCATAACTTAAGTCTGACCCCAGATGTAAAATACCTTCCTCCTTAATTTGTATAAATTTGATTTTAAACATTAGCTTTAATAAAAATTGTATGTGAAATATACTAAAGTTTCACATGCTATGGACAAGTTCCTGTTCAAATCTAAAATTAGCTTCAGAAATGAAACTGACTTAACATGTAAAGAAGAAGAAAATTTTATTTTTCTCCATCCCAGGAGTAAGTGTCCCCCCTCTAAGCTGGTTTAAGACCTTCAAGTGCTTGAACTACTTAGATCAGTGAGCACTTTAGATGCAATGCATGGATATACAGTGCAAAGTTTTTTATTGCATATAAGCAAAAAGCCAACTTCTATTTGTAACTTAATATCCACTTTTTTCAAACTTGATTATAGACAGTTCTCAATCAATACTATTTACCTGCCAAAGGTAACTATTCAGCTATTTGAGTTGTGAGAGAAAGTGTCATTACTTTTGTTTTACCATTGTTTAATTGAGCAACTGTAGGGATTTTGCCCAAGCTCCCACATCTTAACCCTCCCAACCCCCAGATGTCACACACTGAAAAACTTCTGCCTCAAAATATGAATTTTCCAAAGAGTTATGAGTAAAGGAAGGTAAGATGGCAAGACAACTTGTCCCTAACTGAATGAATCA